TTAGATTTCTAAAAATACACTGTTTTACATCTATAGTATGTATCTAACAGAAATTATAAATTGGTCGTTTCTCTTAGATAGTTCTAGCGTTGAAATTGAAAAGTAAACGTCATTTTTTGGCTCGCATCGAGTTTCGTTTAATGCATCATCGTATGTTAAGGGGATTGAATCGCAATAAATTGCAATAAGAGACTCTTACAGGGAATCTGGGCTTGGCCGGGACCTTGGGAGCGGCCAGTATCTCCAGCAACTCCATGTGTTGATCCCACTCCTCCGGCTTGATCACCCGACGCAATTTCGCCATTATCTTTTGCCTGCGAGCCGACATAAAATAAATCACGCAAACGGCAAAAATTGCGTCTATTGTTCCCTGTTGACAGGGGACACTGCCTTTGTATTGTCACAGACGAGGTATACGAAAGTTTTTATTAATATTATCATAATATCGATAGACAAAGTATTATTCGAAGTTTATAGAAAAATTTGATCAATAAGCGTGATTCTCAACTGACGAATTATAGAATTTATCATGTTATTTATCATAACATAATATGCACCGTATAGTTGTAATGCAATTGTCAAAAATTTAACATGTATTTGAACATGTTGAATGAGGAAATATAATAATTTTAACATTTCAATATTAATAATAATTTTAAATAGTTGAAAATTTAGTTAGTTGAACGTTATTTTCAAGACAATATAAATCATTTCAGTTTCACATTTCTGTATTGAAAGTCTGATTGACAACGCTGTAACGGGTCGGAAAAATCATGTTGCTGGCTCTTTAATTAGTTCCTCAACTCACCGCTGTTTAACGTAGAGTGCGCTAGAAAACTAGTGGTTTTTTACTATGTCGGTATTGCAGGTCACGGGCCACGAAACTGCGTAAGATGCAACGTCCACTCCTATACCTCTGTCTGTGGTATCTCATCGTGCGATTATTCCGCGTGTCGCACATCGTGCGGATAATTCTCGCCTGGTATCGAAGGGGGAGAGAAGGCGAAAGAGCCAGGGTGCGAAGTGGCCGCGAGAGGAGGACGTCGAGGGGAGAGCCAGTACTTGCTCGGCGAAATTTCGAGACACCCTTGGGCGCTATTAATAATTACGTCTAGGGTACTCGTGTCTGCTAACTGTTCATGAGTTGCGCGCCAAGTTTAATGGTAACGTTAGGTAACTCGTGGAAAGTCGACACGGAAAGTGGAAAGCCAATATCTGCTTTCTCGTTAAACCTGGACTCTGGGCGCGCGAGAGCCGAGGTCCAGGCCCACGAGGACAAGGGAGTGAGGGGTAAGAGAAAAGACAAATTCTCGCCACGCCTAGAGCTCTCTCATCATCGGTTCGCCACTAACTTTTTCCCTGCTCGCCGCAACCTTCAATTTGTCGCGCTAATCCAAAGAGGGGGAGAGAGCACTCTTGATCAAAGAGTCGACGCGAAAGTAGATAATTCGCACGTTCGGACGCTAGAGACACTGAAACACTAGTGGAAACACGAGTACGAGTGCAAAGAGAAAGGAGAAACGTCTTTGCCCGACATCCAAATCCGACTTCGCGAGATTCGTATTCGTAGATCGCGCGGGCGAGACTCAGCTCGGAGGGGAAAAATCCGATTACGCGAGCGTCCTTTCCCCACTCACTGACGCATTCTCTCCGTGCGTCAGATCCGGCGAGATGATCGTTCTTTCGGTCGTCGCCGCATCGATCCGGAAGAAATTGCTTCCCGTGCAGCTGCTGCTTCCTCCTCGTGATTCGAAAATATGTACGTGCCCCCCCGTGGAAGCGGCGTGGAACGAGGTCGCAAAATCGGTTAAACAACGATCCGGTGCCTTGTTATTGCCTCGCGATTATGGTCGATTGAATCAATTTGACGAGACAAATACGTCGCGTCTGGCGTGCGTGTACGTGTGACGTGCAATGTATTCTCGAACGCGCAAACGTAACGAAATACACGCGTTGTGCAAACAAGATGAGAACATTTTTCATCATCTGTATTTTCTAAAGTTGACGCTTATTACGAACTGACAATATGAGCAGATCGTATGGAACGTGCATGTAAGTAGACCTTGATATAGCTGTATCAATTGATAATTCTAAGTGTTTTACTTTACGACCTCGCGCTACGTAGCTAGAGTGGAAAGAAAAAGTTTGTCCGTGGCTATCATAGACGAATTTGATGGAAATATATGCAAAGAACTTGCCGGCAAATTGATCTTGATCTTGAATTTCAAAGTCAAACATTCTTTCTTTTCTTGCATTATATTCTACTCATCACGAAGGTAAAACTTTCCCAAGCAACCATAGGTTGCAATTTAATGGTTCTCTTGCAAAATGGTAAAAAGATTCTTAGTCATTTAACACTGCGTCCTAACAGCGACTTCATAGTTCTAGACACGAATAATATTAACAGTTATTTTTATCATTTGGATTATTTAGTCTCATACTGATGCTATGATAAATCAAATATTAGTGAAACCTAATGCAAAAATTACGTAAAATAGGCATCCACGCGTCCAGAACCATAAAGTCGCTGTTAGGACGCGTTTAGAATGTGATAAGTCACATTTGAACACTATTTTTCAAAAGAATTATTAAGAACTGTTAGATTAGGTTTAGGTTAAGTGATTTGTGGTTCCTTGGAAAGAACTATTAGGTTAGGTTAGGCGACTTATGGTTCCTTAGAAAGAAGTATTAGGTTAGACGACTTATGAAAAAGTCGTTATCCTTAGAAAAGTTTTACCTTCGTGACGAGTAGAATGCAATGAAAATTTCACTTTGAAATTCAAGGTCAAGATCAACTTTGCTTCTTTACGTGTATCAAATCGAAGGTGTAGAATCCATGGACAAACTTTCCTTCCCACTCTGTACAGTCTGTTTAACAAGTAAAATAGGCATCCACGCGTCCAGAATCATAAAGTCGCTGTTAGCACGAGTTTAGAGTGTGACGAGTCACATTTGAACACTATTTTTCAAAAGAACTATTAGATTAGGTTTAGGTTAGGTTTAGGTTAGGCGACTTATGGAAAAGTCGTTATCCTTAGAAAAGTTTTACCTTCGTGACGAGTAGAATGCAATGAAAATTTCACTTTGAAATTCAATGTCAATTTCACTCATACTTCCAAGGCATGAGCAATAATAACTTTCGACTGAATGAACAAATACACAGAACTCTGTTTTTCAATTATTCCGTGATACCTGTCACCTGTCGAACACACGCAAGTATTGCCAGATTCGATTAATACAGCCAGAGTTATGCTATCGCGAGAGCCGTCTATCGAGAGAGTACACGAAATTACTTTTCAAACTCGAATAATCGGGGCTCGTGATAGCAAAATTTTTGTACTAAAGAAACAATATCTTTCTTCTTCTTCCCCCTCCCCCTCCCCGGCGAATAAATGGCGAATTCCCACCGTTCTTATTAAACACACGGTAGATTAGGATAAACCGCGCTCGGACAAACTGTGTGCGGTCGCACGCTCACTTCTTCCTCATCTCTCGTTGCTGTCTGGCGTTGCAGAAGAATCGATATCTCCGATAACGTGAGTTCTGGACCTTCCAGAGTGTCTCGGCTATGTTGCCGCTGCTACCGGGGAACCTCATGTTCGCCAACAGCAATCTGATCGAGCAATTCGTTAATTCTCTGTTCCGTAGGGCTACTTCCTGTCGGTATCGCGGAAAAGAAGCGATCTCTTCCCTACCTCTTTGTAGGCAGCGCCAAGTCCTGGATGCGTTTCGTGGCTTTGGCCGCGAGCGTTTTCGGATGGATCCGCGCGTACGGTGCTGGCACTTTCCTACGGACAGAGAAAGAGAGAGAGAGAGAGAGAGACACACACACACA